TATAAATGCATATGTTATAATAATAAACTTTTTTTCTAATTTTTTTTTTGTAAAAAGGACTCAACTTTATTTCTATGAGCATTCTGATAAAGTTTGTTTAGAATGTTTTTTCCAAATTTGTTATATGTATTTTGTTAAAGTATATAATGCCTCAAATTATTAGTTTCTTTAAATACTTTATTCTTTATGTAATTGGGGTTGTATATCTCTCAATCTCTCTCTCTATATATAAATAAAAAAATTGTTTATATCTCTTCTGTATAACCATAAATAATTATTCTTATTCACAAAAGCTCCTTTTTTCTTAATTTTTTTCTTTTTTTTAATTTATAAATTTGAAGAAAAACGCAAATGTGAAATATTTCTGTTAATATTCACAGACTCACTTTTTAAAAAATATAAATAAATAAGTTCTCTTGATAAAAATAAGATATCTCTTGATTTTTAAATATTTTTATCCTTTATATTTTATGCTAAAAAAACTCAAAAGAAGTTATCCATTTTCTTGATTTTTAAATATTTTTCTTATTTATATTTTATGTTAAAAACTCAATAAAATTATAAAATTGTATCTGATTTAATATATGACATAATTAAAGTATTACCTTATTTATCTCTCTTTCTTACTTTTGCTATAATTTATTGCTTTTATCTCTCCTCATCATAACTGTAATTTACTAATATTTTTTCTTAAATTAGTCTTTTCATCTTCTATTTTATAAATTTAAAGAGAAAATATTATTTATCTCTGCTCCTTAATATCACATTTACTATTATTATTGAAATTTGTTTTCTTCTTTACAATTTTTTCTTTTGATCCATAAAATCAGTGAAATAAAATTCAAATATCATGTTTGTCTCTCTCCCTAGTCCCCACGTCACTACAATTTGTCACTTTTTCTTAAATTCCTCTCTAATGTATTATACTTTTAAAAAATTCTAAAAAGTAAATTCAATGAATTTATATATATATATATATATATTCTTTGAAAGTTCAATATATATATTTATAAAAAGATTTCTATTTAAAATGTTTTATAATATAGAAGAAAGAGAGAGAAGTAGTTAACGAAAAACTAAAAAAAACTAACGTTTTGTTTTCCTTTCTTTTGTTTATTTTTATTTTAGTTACTTTTTTCCTTTCATTTTTTACTTAATATAATATAATTTACTCGCATTTATAATATATATATATATATATATATATATATATATATATATATATATATATATATATATATATTCTTCAATTTAAAATGTTATATAATAAAGAAGAAAGAGAGAGAAGTAGTTACGGAAAAATAATTATAGTTTTTTTTGTAACGTTTTTACATTTGTTTTCCTTTCTTGTGTTTATTTTTATTGTATGTAGTTACTTAAAAAAAAATTCTTTCCTTTTTTTTCTTTACCTCCCTTTTACTGTTTACTCAGTTCAGTACTATATATCTTCTTCCTTTTATCTTGCAAGTTGCAATGTCATGCCTCATTTCTTTATTTTTTTTCTAATTATATCACACTAAATTTATTCTATACTATTAGAAAAAATTTACTAATATCATTTTTTTTAATCTTACTATTTCTTACTTCATCTTTTTATTCACTTTTTATTTGTGAAAAAACAGAGAAGAAAATTAGAAAACTATACTTCAGATATTATTTTTACGATTTACAAACTGAATATTAGAGGACATTTAGATGTTTCTCGATCTTTGGAATAATGAATTTCTATATAAAATTTCATTGTACAATTTTGATAGATCCGTTGATATAATTTTCGTTGGCATAAAATGATTAAACTTGCACAAGTATATTCTAATGAATTCATTTATATAACAAATCAAAATTTTGATTTACCTGAAGCAGTAAATCTTCTTGTGGAATGATTCTTCAATTTTGTTAATTTACCTTCATATCCTCTTGTCTAACTTCATTTGTACAAACAAATAAATCTTTTATTTATTTGAGGCAATAAAACTTTTCAAAAATTCAATTACCTGAAGTAGTATATCTTCTAGTGCAATATTTCTTCCATTTCGTCACTTACTTTTCCATTATGTGCTCTCATGCATAACTTCATTTGTATAGACAAATCAAAATTCTTGATTTACATGAAGTAGTAATTAATTTTTTTTGCAATGAAATTGGAATTTTATTTGTTACTTTCAGATTATGTGCTCTCCTATTTTATACTTTTTATTTGATTGTAATAAGTTATTGACAACCGTTACAATTCTTCATATTCCATTAGAACAATAAAAATATCATTTATGTAAAAACTTTTCATTGTCCTCTTTAATTGTAAGTTAATAGATGCATTAGATGTATTTAGTACATTATTATTTTAAAAAAAATGTTCAAAAATTGAGAGAAAAAATAAATTGAAATGGAGGTCATATAGGCATGCCACATCAGCTTTTCTATATTCCGCTTTATATATATATATATATATATATATATATATATATATACATATATATATTGATTGTTTACAAAAAGACTAAATCGATCTTCAACTATTATTAAATGACTTACTTTAAACTTAATAATTTACGAAATGACTAGATCGGTCTTCAGTTATTATTAAACGACTTAGTTTATACTTAATACTTTAAAAAACGATTAAATCAATCTTTAGTTAATTATTAACCGAATTACTTTATACTTAGTAGTTTTCAAAACGACTAAATCGATCTTCAATTATTATTAAATGATTAACTTATACCTAATAATTAGAAAATGGCTAGATCGATATTCAAATATTATTAAACAACTTAGTTAATACTTAATAGTTAACAAAATGACTAAATTGATCTTCAACTATTATTAAATGACTTAGTTTATAGTTAATAATTTACAAAATGACTTATTAAACGACTTAGTTTATACTTAATAGTTTACAAAACTACTAAATCGATATTCAATTATTATTAAACGACTTGTTTTATATTTATTAATAGTTTACAAAATGACTAAATCGATCTTCAATTATTATTAAACGACTTAGTTTATACCTAATAATTTACAGAATGGCTAAATCGATCTTCAAATATGTTAGACAACTATGCAAAGTTGTTAGACAACTCTCCAATATTGTTGGACAACTCTTCAATATCGTTGGAAAACTAATGTAGTTGTTTGAAGGACTTGACCCTTCAACTGTTACAGTTATCCAACAACATTAGAAATTGTTAATATAAAATTAGAAGTTTTTGATAAAATTTAAAATTTCTTAAGATACAAATATTAAGTTGTTTGGTCTAATAATCGTATCATTAAGTACATGTCATAAATACGACAAGAAGTACATTTTTATAATTTTTCAATTGATCAACAACAAAACACAATTTTCGAACAACTGCACTAGCTGTTGGGAGAACTTCTACTATCGCCGGACAACTAAAGACAGTTGTTGGACAACAACAAAGACATGTCTAATTATTTCAATAAACAACTTCAATAATTGTCCGGACAACTACGAAAGTTGTTGACTGAAACAATCATTTTGGATTCACTAAATACAACTTTAGAATTGACACAAAATAATTTTCATACTAATCAATAGTACTCTATTGAGTTTATTCAAAGCTTAAACAAAACAAATACAATGCAAAAAACTCAAACACATATATTTTGATATTTTTTATTTCATAAAATTTTCTTTATAGATCTTCTATATATAAGCATAACTTTGCAAATAAAGAAAGATGAAGAAAAAGAAGAAAAAGAAAAAAGAATTGACAAATATAACTGTAGTTTGAAGAGGATTGGTGGGAAGAGAATGGAGTTGAGAAAGAATGTCTTTATCTTTTTTGTCTATTTTGATAAAATTTTAAATATTTAAAGGTAAAGAAATAAGGAATATAGGGGCAAAGTGTACAACTTAAAAGTTTGGGGCTATTTAGAAAATACTTTTTAATTTAATTAATATTATTTATTTATTTGTCACTTTTACTCAATATTTAAAACTTGAAGGACTCTCACCTAATTACCTAACTTATTTGTCCCTTTTAATGGACCATCCCCCATCAAAGAGTGAAATATCAATTTTTAAAATATTTTTTTAATAGAAACTTATCTTTTTTGCCTTTTATTTAACTTTTCTAAATATAATGAAAAATATTTATTAGGATAATTATGACATGACATTATTATACGTGACATGAATATGACATGCCATATATGCAAAGTAGTGAGCTACACACAGGTGGAAAGACTCAAATATCTCATTTTAATTGATCTTAAGGATTCAGTTGACAAATTATTAAGTAAAAATGTTCAGAATACAAAGTCATACAAGTATAAGAATTCATGAGACTATTTCGCTTTATTAATTTTAAAAAAAAACTAATTTGCCCTTATTGATTACTCTTTTATTTAATTTAATATGAACATTCTATCTGAAAAAATAAATAATTCGTATAGTTACAAGTTTTTAATTTGAATCCAAGGAATTTAAATAAATATTTTACATAATGTCATTAGAAATAATATCATGGCTACTTACATATTGAATACAAATTAATTATATTTTAATATCTTTTAAATAAAATGAAGATCTATTAAATGTAAAGTAAAAATATGTTGTGAAGATATAAAACTACAAAAAAAAATTTGTAAAAGAATGTAATACAAAATCTCTCGTGTCATCGTGTGATTAACTAAAGAAAAATAAAGGTAAATAAAGATTTGAATTTATAAATAGATGTTGAAAACTAACATAATTTTTCATTTTGACAATTTAAACAAGAGATAATGCACCTATTGATCACTTGCAATACCCGAAATTTGTATCAAATTAAATACTTCTTTTGTAATAAGACAAAAATAGAACGTACTATATATTACACTCGCGATCGACATATTAAGTGTTGAATTAAATGACATTTGTTATTTGTGCTCGAAATAATTATGAAACAATTAACTTCAATTTCATCCATTTCATATTTACTTGGTCTATGTTGATTTGACAGTGTCAAAAACAACTCTATTGTGAGGAGTGGTTTTGAAATAGCTGAGAATTCACCAACTTCGTTCAGTTCTTGCATTTACAAGATTATAGCATACAAATGTGGATGTGCATTTCATCCAAAAGAAGATAAAAAAATTTTGGTGAAAATTATCTACTATACTCTAGACCTGTATATTGAGTTTATATTGATAAGTATTTTGTATGAGTATCCAACATTTTTGGATCCCCTATACCCTCTACAATTACATATCTTTTTCAAAAAGTATGGTTGAAATGCAGATATATAGATATCACCGGTTCTGAAGAGTTTCAATGGCCTTTTTCCACTGCATTGCTCGTTGTTTAGCATCCTCGAAAGACATAACTTTCTTTGGCTGTATGATCAAAAGATGCATAAACATACAAAGATTGAGTTAAAACTTTGATAACTTAGAAATGATAACAAAAAAGATTGATTCATTTATCAAAAACAATCATTAAAAAATAGTAAGAATGATTGAGGTCTGGAGAGAAAGCAACAGGACTTAACTGTGCAAACCTTGAACTGTGAAGGGCTTATGACTTGAATATTGAGATCGTTAGAATTGTCGGACCATATAATATTCCCTTTGACCACCAACTTTGAGGGGTCTACGTAGATCAATTTTGGCTTATTTGTCAAGATAAGCTGAACTTTCTTGCTTGTAAGCTTCTGTATCTTTTTCACATTGGAGATCATAAGAACAGATTCACCAGGCTCCAAAAACTGCTTCCTGTTGAGGCATCACGAGAAACACGTTGACATGCATTATCGATTGACAAGGAATAAGAGTTGTGGAAAAAAACAAAACAGAGGAGTCGGCCTAAAGCAACCATGTGCATGAGTCTGCCCATAATAAAGTGTGATGTTGAGGGTTGCTATGTCCCGCTTAACAAGTCCAAAAGAGTAATAGAACCATTATAACATAGGCTTAGCAGAGTAGGAACAAGCTTCTACATGAAACTTAATGTAAGACACTCAATGATCCTAACGAATTAATGAAGCAAAAACTGCTTCCCTTTTTCCTAATTAGGTAACATAAAGACCATTTGAAGCTGGAGAGACAAGGCAAGAAACTGGCACCATGTTGAAACATAAATATAAAAGTAAACTTGTACACAAATAACAAGGCTAACCATAGTTAAAAGTCAAACTAAGAGTTAACAGCTAAAATGTCCCACAAGTGTTAAACCTACCATTTTGAATCAAATGAGTCGATTGAAGCAAGCCTGGTAACGCTATTAGCTTCAGAAGAGGATGGCGTACCACCATTTCCATCATTAGGTCTAGCTGAACCATCCCCTATATGTGAGGGATTCCATGAAGGATCATGATCTTCACCACTGGTACGAGTAGAGTGTCCCTGAAGATTTGATATACCCTATTAATACTTCTATAACTAATCAACTCTTTAAGAAAATTGAGATAAAGCTCAATAATAAAAACAAATTTCCATACTTTCGGCTCTGCAGCAAGCCGTGGAGGAGTTTGTAACCTTAAATTGTCCCAATCAACTCCACTAAAGAAAGGATGGTTTTTCAGTGAAGCATAACCATCAGGTCCAGCACCTGGTCTTCGGCTAGGATCAATATCCTGATTCATTTGGATGCAAGTTAGTTGGTAAAAGAGATTTTATGATATGTACAAAAGTATAGCATGTGTATTTTTTGTAAATATAAACACAAAACATTTATGTGCTTCTTTTACTTGGAATGAGATATATTTTAAAGATTATATTCTATTGGAATATAGAAGATGTTTATCATATGCGTTCTGCATTATTTTAGAAATGGCACATACATGCCACCATCATTCTCTCAACCTGCCATAAAAAGAAAAGCTATGTAGTCCTACAGACAATAATACTACAGTCCAACACCTAAAATAGCAGAAGATGCATGCATTGGATGTTTCAAAAAGCTAGATATACAAACAGATATGTTTCTAAGATCTTATCCTTACTTTAAGTCTAAGGGTAACACCAAAAAAAACACCTAAACATGTATACCAAGCCAAAGTTTTGGCTGGCCTAGGGGTTACAAGCTCATATAATCCAATTACACAGAGAAACTTATGTCAATCAAGATACAAAAGTCATTCTTAATTAAATAAGGCCTATGTAGTGTATATTGTTGGTGTTATGCTCATGGAACAGAAAGGATTTAGCGAATCTAGTTAAAAATTTCTGCCTAAGCTCATCTATGTTTGAATCAACTGATAGAATAAATCAAGATACATTTCAGATAAAGGACAAAATGAAGAATGGGGGAAGAAAAAAGAAGAAACCACAAGATGCAAGTAAATATTAAAGAGGAATTATAACTTACGAGCAACTGATCAATGAGATCTCTAGCTTCATTTGAAAAATAATTTGGGAACCTGATATCTCTAGCAATGATTCTTTGAAAAATGAGCCATTCACTGGTATCTTTAAAAGGTGAAAATCCTGAAAGCATTTGATATAAGGTGCAGCCAAGTGCCCAGAGATCATTTCTGGTAAAACATGTCCAAAAGGAATGATTATGTTTTCATTCAAAAATGCATAATTCACGCAATACCATCAAAGTGTAAACTACTACCAATCAGCTAACATCCAGAAAGAAGTAAAACGACTTGGCTTTTTCAAAGGCAGGGTCCATACCCAAAAGTTGCAGGAGAAGAATTTAAAACTTCAGGAGGGACATATGCAGCTGTCCCCACAAAAGTACATGCCTTGTCATCTGGAGGAAAGAAAGAGCACTGGTTTAGCAACGAAAATAACACCAAAATACCCTATTTTGTGCCAATATGATTGTGATTTTTCATAACAAGCAAGATATACCTGATGCTGCATTTGGAAGTACTGTTATTCTGCTATCCTGCATGGGTTTTACACTGCCAAAGTCCGCAATTTTAATACGTCCATCTGAAGTGAGTAGCAGGTTCTCTGGCTGCCATAAATAAAAACATTCAAAATTGTCCTAGAATATTCTGCTGACACAACAATCACATAGTAAAATCACCTTAATATCTCGATGAATCAATCCCATACTGTGTATATATTCAAGAGAATCTGCCACTTCAGCTGCGTAAAAACGTGCTTCATCCTCGGACAAACGACCTTTCTGCACCAACCAAAATAAAAGTTTAATAGGAAATGATCTACTTTCTTTCCAAGCAAAAGAGAATATTAGTGAATTGTGGAACTGATCACACACTTCAGAAATGGAGAAATCCTTCACTGCCAATGATATCATAATAAATGGACAGGGAGCATTTAGAAAGATGATTGTTCTTTCCAGAAGGAACAACAGGATATATCAAATTTAGGAAGTCAACCACATTACAGAGTTCAAGAAGAAGATATATGTTTCCGAGATAAATCAGAATATGCCACAAGTGGTTCACTATTGATAACGATTTTTTTTCTGTTTTATGTTGTGATTTTCTATGCTTATGGGAGAAACTAAAAGAACACGTATATCAAGTTTCTTCATTTACTCACCCTGGTAATTTGATCAAAAAGCTCACCACCTTCACAGGACTCCAGTGCCATGTCTTCACAATAGGGTAACATGAAATTAGAAGGAGAAACATCAATGTTCGACAAGACATGCCAAGCATAAAGAGTGGAAAAAGATCCTTAAAGAGAATGTGTAAAATACTAACATATCAGAAAAATGTGTAAAATAAACTCACATAGTGAAAAAGTGTCTTGGAAAGTGAAAAATAATCGCACAATACCAGGATGATCCAACTGATCAAGTACAATTCTTTCTAATTTCACATAGGCAGTCTTATTTTCTTTAGTGATGAACTTTTTGTCCATGATCTTCAACGCATAAACATTCCCTGTGTCTTTCTTTTTTGCTCTGACAACCTGATAGTACACAATTTGCAACCAAAACTTCAATAACAATTTGTGATTTATTTACCCAGAGGAAAAGCAAGAGGGGTGAAAGAAGAAAGACCAATATAAGAAGAGTTGCTAGTTACTAATATAGGCTAATAAGACGACCCTCAACTGTGCGATAGAAATACAATCCTTGAACTGGACTTCTGCTATAGGAGTGTGATCACCAATTAATACCACCAAGAATTGCTTGAAAACTAAAACACATCTCAAAGATGAACTCACTAAAAAGATTTTCTTTGATCTAAAAGAGACGACTTCTGCAACAAATATCTAATCTTTATTTTTTTTCCCTTTTTCCTTCTATGCGGGACATTTGGCTGATACTTTATTACAAAAACATATACTATATGGTTTCAACTATTGACTATCAAGTGAATGACAGAGAAAAGCTAAAACTGAATAACGACATCTTGAAGATGAATACAATTGACACCTGAACTCAACAAGATAACTCATTATATCGAAAAGCATGGTAAGACATAACAAATCCATGGTCTACATTTCAACTAATACCACTCACCAAGGGAGGTTAAACCATAATGAGCAGAAAAATAAAGCAAGATAATAAAAATCATAGAACATCACTACACTTGAGCACAAAAAGAAAAAAGGGAAGTGTTGAGCAGAATCTCAAACTAGACTTTTTCGAATAAATACATAATAAAAAGGATTAAAATCTGACCTTTGAATAAGAACCAACTCCATAGATCTTTCCCAATTCAAAATCTTGGATTGTGAAATTTTCCTGAGGTGCTCTGAATGCAAAGCTCTTAGATCTTTGAGGATTTGGTAAATTATTTTCTATCCTAAGCTTTGAATCTAATTCTTGCTCCATCATCAGCTGCTACTCCTCTTTCCCTCCACCAATGCCAACATTTCACACTAAAATTCCTTCTATCAAATTTTATGCATATATTTTTTTCAAATTTTTTTATATGTGAAATGCTATCACTACTTTCCTTCTTTCTCCCCCAAGAAAATCAGGGGTTTCGATCCCTACAAAAAAATATTTAGTCCCTGAAAATTTTGGCAAAAAAAAAAAGTTATCAATTTTTACCATAAGCTCAGAGTTTCTTCATATTTTACACCTCTCTTTATTTTCCTTTTTCCATAGGAGAAACAATAACAAATTATTCATCATACATGCATATATCCGCACAAAATAAAAAAGGGAAAAAACCAGCTACGTGTATGTATATGCAAAAATTTTTGAATTTTAAATGTCTCTTCTTTTTCTTTTCAAAACCCTGGAAAGGGAAGTTGAAACAAATTATATATTTGGTTGTATGAAGAACACATGAAAATGAATGATGGGTACCTTCTCATTTCATTGCCAATCAATTTCTGAGATGATTCATTTTCTTGTTTCATCAAATTAACCTCAAAATTGTGTGTGAAGAATAATGACATAAATATAAAGGTCCTTAAAAGTAGGAAAAACTGAGAAGGATCTGCTGTCTATTATTGTCACCGTTTCCTACTTTTCAGGACCTTTAAAATCATCATAATAAAATTACAAATCAAACTAGAAAGTGAAAAAATAGAATTAAATTTATATAAAGGCAATACCTAGATTACAAATAAAAAGAGCAAAAATTTAATTTTACACAACACACACTCTCTATATATTCGTAGTCGGAGAGAAAATCACATGTTTGATTGAACACGGCCAATTGAAATTTATCTTTTATGATAGTGTGTGCTTTTGGGGGTGACTTACTTTCCTTTCTTTGAGCGATTGGCCTGGAATAGACCTAAAGTGTGCAACTTATCCTTCTCTTCTCTGTTTCGTGGCTATTAGACCTGAACCCATTGAAAGTGAGAAAAGAAGTGTCGTAGCCTATTCTTCTATTCTCCATTGAGTGGTGAGGATTGTTATATGTTTCTGGCTAGCTTCTTTATGGCAAACGCTACTCGTCGCTTACAATAAATTGTCTCATGATAACCTTGCTTGACCACTTTCGCTCTGACTGAGTTGACCGTTGCACCTGATTTCCATATCTCATCAATAAGCCTAAAGGTTTTCTTCTTGATAAGATCGATATTGATGATATATAGTGACCTTGATACAGAGCTGGAACTACAAACTAGGATGGATGAGGATGAGCTACGCTTTCAATAGCATAGGGCACATTCGTGAAGTGCAGCTTGACAACAATAAAAAATAAGTCTTCCCTATCACCAACCTAGCGTGTTATCTACAGTGAAGTCCACTCTTGGCTAAGCTCTTTGGGCGGGACTTTCTTGAAGTTTCTGAGATTGATATGCTCTAAATTAGTAAAAGAAACCCTCAAATCCTATTTTGTCTTTAGTGACACCAAGCTACCTCGCCTTTTGTTGGTGAAGTGAAGGATAAAAAAAGATATTTTAATAATCAGTTTGGTGGTTTTTCCATTTAATTTTACCTTAAAATTAAAATTGATTATGTCAATTTTTTAAGAATAAAAAGAATAGATTGAAGTAAAAGAAATATTCAATTTGACAAGATTCTATCTAGTTTGATTTTTGATTTTCAATATTTGGTGAATATTTTTTAATACAAATATAAAGTGTGTGGGTAAATTTCTCAATAAAAATTCATCTTTTTAAAGGTATCGTATTTGATTCAATTTATCGAGATGTAAAATGGAAATCTTCAAAGATTTTTTTTCTTAAATTAAGAGGAATAATTATGTTTTAGTTTGAATTTGTTGAGAGGTGGCAATTTTTTTAATTCGGAAATGAAAACGATTAATTGGAAAGAAATAGAAGAATTTGGAAAAAAATGAAGTGAGAGAGTGTGTGGTATTAAAATGGGACTCATTAAAACACTTGTTGAAAAATTAAGGATCTCTTACAACTATAGATGGTTGTATCTCAACCATATTGGAAATTTTCACGTTTGTGATGATACCGAATCATTGGTTTCTCCAAATTAGGCTACATATTTTTTGGTTCAACACTTCACTTCATTTGTCATATTCGGTACTTCTTTGTCTTCTTTATTGTTAATCTTACAAAAATTATGATAGCATGAAACTATTTTGCCTTTATAATTCGAGTTAATATCTAAGAAGTAGAGGTGTTTGTGGTATGGTTTAAATCGGTTATTGATTAAAATTAAAATCAAATCAATTTAATTGTTTTTTAAAAATTTCTATAATCAAACAAAAATAAATAAACATCGGTTTGATTATTGTTTATTTGGTACGGTTTGATTCTGTTTTTCTAATTTATTCGATTTGAAAGTGTCACGACCCAAAACGAGTCGCGAGTGGCACCCACACTTATCCTACTATGTGAGCGAACCAACCAATCTAAACCCCAACATTTCAACCATAAATAACAGAATATAATGCGGAAGACTCAAAACTCATTAACGAAATCAATTAATAACTTCTAAAATTCAATGTTATTTATTATTCCCAAAATCTTGAAGTCATCATCACAAGAACATCTATCCTCAAATTACTAAATCTAAGAATGTCTAGGAAACTAAAACAAATACAAGAGATAGTCCATGTCTGAACTTCAAGGACATCAAGACATGAATGAGAGAGAATCCAATCCGAGCTAGGAACAATAGCGCACCCTGAAATCTGACGTGGTGAAGACTAGCTAGAATTGCGGTTGAGTTGAAGACGACGGTACGTTTGCTGCACTCCACAAATAACAAAGAGAAAACATACAAGTAGGGGTCAGTACAAGAACAAGTACTGAGTAGATATCATCGGCCAACTCAAAATAGAAAGCAATATATATCAGATAATATCATAAAATCAACTACAATACTCAACAGGTGGCAACAACAAGTACAAGAACCATTGGCAACGACACCCAGCACACCTATGAGGACTCAAGCCTCCACACCATACTCATTTGGGAAATAGGTTCATTAAATTTTGAGTATATTAAGATAATTCAAGATTCATTCTCTTTATTCCTCTTGTGTCGGAACGTGACACTCCGATCCCCTAATACTACGTGTTGGTTCGTGACACCCGATCCCCTAATACTATGTGTCGGTTCGTGACAACCGATCCCCTAATACTATGTGTCGGTTCGTGACACCCGATCCACTAATACTATGTGTCGGTTCGTGACACCCGATCCCCTAATACTATGTGTCGGTTCGTGACACCCGATCCTCTAATATTATGTGTCGGTTTGTGACACCCGATCCACTAATACTATGTGTCGGTTCGTGACACCCGATCCACTAATACTATGTGTCGGTTCGTGACACCCGATCCATTAACCTCATTCTTTTAGTTCATCAAGCCTTCTTTTATACCAAGACATCATCATTAATAGAGAGGTTTTAAGGTTTAAGATTCGACAGCCTCTTCATGCTAATTCATCACAATTACATAATCACATCATGCAAGCACACAATTAAGCATATAGAAGACTTTACAATACTACCCAATACATACCATTCGCTATTAAGAGTTTACTATGAAATAGCATAAACCATAACCTACCTCCACCGAAGAATTGTGATCAAGCAAGCTATCCCCCAAAGTCTTTGCTTTCCTCTTCGTTCTCTCTTCTCTCGCTCGTTCATCCCTCTCTTCCTCTTTCTGATTTTTCCTTATTCAAACCCTTTTTTTACCCTAATTACCATATAATTAAGTACAAAAGATGGTAAAAGTAACCCACTATTTATTCCAAGGTTGTCTCCTTTAACCCCCAAGTAATTGAATTATTAACATTAAACCACTAACTTTATAATTATAGGCAGGAATAGTCCAAAACTCCCCTTAAAATATTTAACAGAAATCCGACCAAGTCAGGGTTATGCAGCCTGTGACGGCCCGTCGTGTCTGCGACGGTCCGTCCTGCTGCTTTCGTCACAAAGTTCAGAGACTGAATTTCACTAAAGGGCCTGTGACGGTCCGTCGTACCCACGACGGTCCGTCCTGCCATGTCGTCGCAAAGTTCAGAGAGTTGTTCTCAGTACCCAAATTTTCAGAATCTAAGTGTTTTGGAATGAGACCCCCTTGACGGTCCGTCGTGCCCATGACGGTCCGTCATGGGATCCGTCGACCCAGACAGTTATTACCAGAAATAAACTCTACTGCTCAAAACGACTAACAGGTCGTTACAATAGATACCAATTTACCCATCGTTCATCCTCGAACGATCACAAGAAGAAAAATAAGGGCGAAAAGGAGTACCTGGATCTGAAAATAGGTGTGGGTATCTTTCTTGCATATCAGCCTCCTTCTCCCAAGTGGACTCTTCAACTGGCCGATTCTTCCATTGAACTTTGACAGATGCAATCTCCCTTGACCTCAACTTGCGTACTTCCCTATCTAAGATAGCAACACGCTCCTCCTCATAAGACAAATTCTCATCAAGAAGAACTAAATCCCAACGAATGATGTAGTTTCCATCCCATGGTATCTTTTCAGCATAGACACATGAAATACCGGGTGCACTCCTGAGAGTCCTGGGGGCAAGTCTAATTCATAAGCTACCTCCCCACACGCTTCAGAACTTCAAATGGACCAATGTACCTCGGACTAAGCTTACCTCGCTTACCGAACCGCACCACTCCTTTCATGGGTGAAACCTTCAGCAAAACTTGTTCACCCTCCATAAACTCCAAGTCTCTAACCTTTCGATCTGCATATTCTTTCTGCCTACTTTGAGCCACTAAAAGCTTTTCTTAAATGCATTTCACTTTATCTAACGATTCCCTCAGAAGGTCAGTACCCCAAGGTCAAACCTCAAATGCATCAAACCATCCAATGGGAGACCTACACCTTCTCCCATACAGTGCCTCAAATGGGGCCATATCAATACTTGAGTGATAGCTATTGTTGTATGAGAATTCTGCTAAGGGTAAGAAGTTATCCCAATGACCACCAAATTATATCACACATGCACGAAGCATATCCTCCGAAACCTGAATTGTTCGCTCAGACTGACCATCGGTCTGAGGGTGAAATGCAGTACTAAGATCCAATCTAGTACCTATCAGCATGCAATGTTTTCCAAAACATAGAAGTAAACTACGTACCTCTATCTGATATGATGGAGAGTGGAACTCCATGCAATCAAATAATTTCTGAGATGTAAATTTTGGCTAACTTCTCTACATTATAAGTCACCTTGACCGGAATGAAATGAGCAGACTTAGTTAATCTGTCAACAATCACCCAAATAGCGTCATACTTACCCATCGTCTTTGGTAGACCAACCACGAAGTCCATTGCGATTCTCTCCCACTTCCATTTAGGAATGGGCATTCTCTGAAGTGTCCCTCCA